CACAGTCATCTTACTGACCCCAGAAAGTCTCTGATGCCCTGCCCCGGCTTAGGGGCCGCGTGTCACTGTGGGTAAGACATTGAACTGTTCTGCGCAGTTAAGCAAAATGGTGATGGCAGAGCCTGCTCCGCCTCTCACAGGCTGCCTGGGCCAGGTAGGATGAGTGATGTATGCAGAACACTTTGAAACCAGAAGGACTCCCCACGCCCAAACCCAAGTCTCTCCCCTTGACCCTGGAAGCAGCCCGCAGACACTGAGTTATTAGTGGGAGGAGGTTGCATGAGTTATAAATACACTGGCGGCCACATACCTTACATTCCTGATGGCGTAAAGTCAGAGTAAACTCAACAACCTGGGGTGGTTTTCCCCCACTAACCACATGTGTTCACTCCTGACGTGCATCGATTTTCACTGGAGATGCATGGGGCCCTGCCCGACGGCCTGGTCGCATTCGTCGGCCTGTGTGATGAGAGAAGATGTTTTTGAGGCTGGGAGGAGGCCGCTCCCAGCTCCCCTCCCTGACCTAACGAAGTCTTTGTAAATGGTCGGCTCCGCGGCTGTGTGGGGAGCAGGTCGTTTTAATTTCGAGGTGTCTTGTTTTCAGATTTCTCTTCTTTTCTGTATGCATTTTTTTTTTCATAGCTTGGTATTATTCAGATGAATATTTAGTTTTGTTCATTTGAATAAAAGAGGGAAAAAGGGTTTGACTGTTAAATGCTTATCTCTTACTGTTCGTTCCCAATAATAGCTTCATTCAGGAGAGTGATGTCGAATTTCATTTTTAAATGCTCCCTGTCAACTGCTGCCCTGAGTCCAAGATGCCCATGTTCCCAGGGGGCCCCCAAAGGGCCCAGGTCTCGGAGACGCACTGTGGACCCGAGTCCTTGCCTTGGCAGGACCGGGGGGCCTCCAGCCCACGCGCCCTCCTCCCTGCTTTTGGAGGCGGAGAGGTGAAGGGGCTCCCCAGGGGCACATGGCTCACTTGCCTCTTGAGCAAGAACCTTGATGCATTTCTTAGGCCTGGTGCTGTGCCTCAGTGTGACGGGCTTTCCGGAGCCTGTTTCTGCTTCTCTGGGGTTCTCTTGTGGAGAAGCGGGAGGGAAATAGTCAGTCCTTCCTGCCCCCCGTCAGGAAGACTCACCCCACAGATTGTTCGAAAGACCACGATGCCTTGAAAACGTCATGCCGAGTGAAGTAAACCAGGACTCCCCTTACGCGAGGCACCTGGGATGGTCCAGTGCGTAGTGGCAGGGAGCACAAGGCGGCTCCTGGGGACCAGGGCGCAGGAGCGGGAGGGCCGCTGGAGGTCCAGATTTCAGTGCGGTGGGGAGGGAGCGGCGGTGGCGGTGGTGACGGGTGCCCGGCGCTGCCCTGGACGGTACGCGTGGAGTGGTGAAAGGTGCATTTTGTTATATGCATTTCACCCAATAGAAAAATTTCGAAAAAGAAGATTTGGATGCCAAAAGAGAATTTTTCCCACCTGCCACCCTACCCCTCCCAAATTTCTAACCTCATTGTTTTGTCCTTCACGCCGCAGTTTAATTTATTTTGGGGGTTGTTTGCCACTGGGTTACTGTTTCGTTGTAAATGGTAATGTGAGATAAAAATGATTAGATGTTAAGGAATAACATTTATTGATAACTGTTTCTTGCTTTCTCCAAATGGAATAAATACATATTTTAGACATAATCAAGGTTGCTTTCTGTGTTTGGGCCAAACAGACAGGGTTGTTAAAATGATACAGATCTTTAAAATACCACAAATGAGTCTTGACATCTGACTTGGTGCATCCAAGGCTCAGAGCGTGAGGTCAGGTGCTCTCCGATGAGGAGAATCATGTTTGTGATGCTTGAATTTGAGGCCCGTAGGGTTAGGGAAGGGACGGAGGGAGAATATCCGAGTCCTGCCCCCGCCCTGCCCAGTGCACAGTCAGCACTGTAACCCCTGTGTCTGAGCGGTGCACCAAGGGGAACTCGGGGCAGCAGCGCCCTGAGTGGCATTGGGTCCGGAGTTCGGGCAGTGGTTTATCTGCGCAGCAGCGCAGGAAGGCAGGGTCGAAGCAGGGAAGCAGCTGCCGTGGCCGTGCCCTCCGCCCTGCCCCGTGGTGACTCGACTTACCCAGGATCCCGTGCTCAGCAGCAGGCTGGCTGCAAGCCGCTGTCCTTGGGCCCATGGAGTGCTGCCCCGGCCAGACTGGCTTTGTGCTCTTTCCCGATGGCACAGAGGGGTTTGGCCTTGTCCACACTCGCCTGCCTCCTACCCAGGTCGAGCTGCTGGCCGGGCGTGAGGAGCTCGTGTGTGACCCGCCCACAGGAGGGCAGCCAGAACCTATAACCTGGCTGTTTTGGTTTTCAGTGGCCACCACAACAAATCACCACAGACTGGAGACCAGAAGCCTGAAAGCAAGGTGTCAGCAGGGCCACACTGCCCCAGAGGTTCCGGAGGACACTCTTCCGCCCCTCCCAGCTCCTGGTGGCCCCGGCACCCTTGGCTTGTGGCTGTGACACCCCCTCTGCCGCCGTCCTCACGTGGCCCTTGCCTCTGTGCCTGCACGGAGGACGTGCTCCCCTTGAGTGGGAGCCTCCCGCGCATGCCTCTTAGGGAGGAAGCGCTGCGCTGGGACATTGTCTTGGTGACTGGCAAGGTGCTCAGACTCCGCCCTGTCGCTGTGAGGGGCTCTGTGCCTCCTGGCAACTCGGTGAGCGAGGCCCCGGCCTTGCCCTCCTTGGGGCCAGTGCCAGCAGATTCCCACGCCCTCCGCTCGGCCACCCGCCCTCCCCGAGCACTTTCAAAGACACTGCATCTCGGTCCCTTCTCGGGAGTCCTCAGGGAGTGAGCTCTTGGAGGTGGGCAGGAAGGAGAGGGTGGACCTCTCGGGCTGCAGGGCCCCTGGCCGAGAGGTCTAGCTGATGGTTTTAGTGGGGCCAGCACACCAAAGCCCAGCAAGAAATCACCTGGAGACGGCGCTGGTGTGGCTCTCGTCCACCTCTGCTCATGGTAGACGGGACCAGGGGCCACAGCGGAGGCGCCTCCCAAGCAGAGGGGACCCAGAGGGCGAGATGCAGCTCTCTGCAGAGACCTGCTGGGTGGTCTCTTGTTGGGCTTTCTTTCTAGCAAACATCTTTGTGTCCGAGGACCCAGCTTCTGCAGGATGACGCTGGGAGACGTGTGGCTTTGAACCTGGCAGCAGAGGCTCATGTCCCCCTTACGGTGTGTCTGACCCTCAGCCTTGTGTGTCTGTAGTGGGCTGGACTGTGGGCCGGGAACATCGGCCTGGTGTTCGGTGTGTGGTATTAAGTTATGTATCCTAATCGGGATCACGGTTGCCATGTGTGCGTGTCCTAGCCCTGCGTCTTAGGCCCTTGGAGCCTGCGGGAGCTGTGATGGGGGCTCGGTCACCCGCCGCCTGTTCTCGGCTGTTCTGTGGAGTCGGTGGCGGTGGACTTGAGAGATTCTCTCCATCTCGGGCTTCTGGGACCAAAAAAGACACAGAGCTTGAAAAGGAGGCATCTCTGTTTGTACTCATGGACAGGAAACACGAGTTGTTGCCATACAAACCTCCGTTCTGATGTTCGTCCTCATGGTCGGTGTGTCCAGGTTAGTGTTCGGCCAGGTTCACGTCTCGGGGAGAGGAGAGCGTCTCCGGGGGTTCAAGCTGCTGTTACCAAGTACCGTAGACGAGGGGCTTATGTGGCAGGAACGCGTTTCTCATGGTTCTGGAGCCTGGAAGGCGAGATCGGGGTGCCGGCAAGACCAGGCTTTTGGTGAAGGCTCGCTGCCTGGTTCCGAGCAGCCGGCTCCTGTGTCCACGGCGGAGAGCAGAGGGAGGAAAGGCCAGCTCCGGTCTTTTCTCGGGGCACGAAGCCATTCGGGGGGCTCTCCCATCAGGACCTACGTGCCCCCTATGGGCCCACCTCCCACTTCCTTTACATTGGGGTTACGATGCCCACATGTGAATTTGGAGAGGGGTTCGGATGGCAGCCCACAGCAGAGAGCCTGGCAGTCCTGCCTGGGGTGTGGCTCGAGGTGTGGGGCCGGGTGCGGGCTCACCGCCACAGTTTGCAGGTGCGAGACTAGCGGGGAAGGGACTTCCCAGGATGACAACCCAGGCCTCGGGCCTCCCATCAGGGTCTGTCTGTCCTCTGCCTGTGTTCCTCGCGGTGTGGGTACTGACACTGCAGCTGCATTTCATCCAAGGGGGGGCGCCATCCTGCAGCCAGCCCTGTGTGAACGCCTTCCAGTGGGGTCGCAGGCGGGGCTGGTGCCGGAGACCCTGTCAGGGGCAGGAGGAGACGAAAGCAAGGGACAGGGGGCAGCAAGAGGAACTCGGGATGCTGAGCAGTGGTCGCTGCCAAAATTCTTCAGTACGGCTTGTCTAGCAAAGGCGGTCCCCAGCTGAGGAAATACAGTGGAGAGCCGACAGGCTGACAGCAGGCATCAAACAGCCTTAAACTGCCCCAAATCTGTAGCGCTTTTGAAGCCGCAGTAGAAAAAGGATGCCTGTGCAGAACAGAGCCCCGAAGGTTTTCACAGCTTCTTCCAGGCCTCAGGATGTCCTGATGAGGTATTAGAGGAAGTAATTCAGGAAGAAAAGGACAAATAACCGCCTCCGTCTGGAGGCCGGCCGGAGGGCTGGCGGTTCCAGCGTGGAGAGGGCAGGCGTGGCCCCGCGGTGGTCCCACCGCCGTGGGCTGCCCACCGCCGGCCGCACGGAGCTCTGATCCTTGTAAATAACAGACAAGAAGAATTCTTGTTTGCTTGGGGGCAAGTGGGAGCCACAAAGCACCCGCCGCATGTGGGTGAAATCATTAACTTCTCCTCAGTATTGCAGAGGTGTCCATGCAAATTAGAAATCACTTCCTCAACCTCGGGGCCCCTTTCCCCCACCCCCCCAGCCAGGAGCGTGTTGCCACTGGGCAGACAGCAGAGACACACTTGGGCGGTCGGAACTGAACTCACCCCCCTCTCTGTGTTTGTTTTTGTTTCCCCCTTTCCTTTAGGGTTTGGCTTTGTCACTTTTGAGAATGAAGACGTTGTGGAGAAAGTCTGTGAGATTCATTTCCATGAAATCAATAATAAAATGGTAAGTCTGTGGGGGCTGAAGTGCGGCGCCCCCCTTCCCCGCTGCACAGCTCGTCCTGCCAGCTGTTCCGCCCGTCATCGCGCGGGAGGCGGGCAGGTGGGCACGGGCCGGCTCTGAGGGCTCAGCCACATGGTCAGCGTCCTCACTTCGCAGGCCGGGCACTGGGGTCAGTCCACTCCGCCGCTGCGGCGAGAAGGTGTCCACAGACAGCGTCCAGGAATGAGCAGGACACTGACAGCGGATTCTCATGCAATTCTCATGGGTTGCAAAATGTTTGTTTTCACCATTTAAAAATGTAAAAACCATCCTTAACTCTTCACTGTACAAAAGCTGGCAGGGGGCACATCTGATCTGCAGGTTGTGGTTTGCCAACCCTGGCTTAGGATAAGCGTTGGCTGTTTGGCTTGGCATTTTTGGGGTGGGCAGGATATCCTAGATATGAAGGTTACCACCCAATTATGTCTTTCTTTGGGCCCTGCTGGGTAAGTAACAGTTCTCCCCTCTGATCAACCAGATAGTTTTTATCCCCATGATCAGCTGCTTCTGTCCCTCCCTTTCGCTCTCTAAAGCTCCTTTTCCTGGGGGGCACCCTCAGCACTGAGAGTAAGGTTGAATCATTGGAAGTTTGGGGAGCCAGGTGAGCTGCTCAGAGAAATGGCCACCAGATGGCGCTATACCATGTGCAGCCTGTGCACACTGGCTTGCTTTCTGTCTCCAGCTCCTGTCTTCAAATTGAGTAGGGGGTGCAAACCCTTTCCTTGTTAGTTACAAAAATATGGGAACTCAGCAGGTGCTTCTCTAGCCATCAGCAGGTCCTTCGGAGCCAAAACAGTTTGGTTGGCCAGCAGGGCCTCCAGCCCCAAGAGAAGGAGGGCAAATCTGTGTTTCAGTCACAGCTGTAACTTTGGTATTTTCTTCCTTTAGTCAGAACATTCGTTGCTTCTGAGCCATGCATTCAGATATTCACTGTATATGGTCTGATATGTGTTCTCTGACTTTAAATTCAATAACAAAACTTTCGGTGTGGATAAGATCAAAGCAATCTACTTAGCATGTGGTACTACAGGCCTGATTCAATATTTGACTTGCTAATTTTTTCCCAGGGCACTAAAATAATAGTGTTGCTATTGTTCCTAGCCATCATATGCACCTGAGATGAAAATACTGTTTCTTTGCGTGTGTGGATTCGAGGCGTCAGCTCAGGCGTTAAAATGGTGCAGGGGATAAGTGTGTGGGGGTAGCAGGTGCCCTCATAGGCTTTCTTCCCCTTCTGAAGTCAGTACCTTCCAGTCAGTGCTTCTCTCTTTCAGTAGGTTCCTACTTGCAATTCTTCAAACTAGAGAGACAGGCCTCGTAAGAGGAAACCTGCCTCCGGGGCCCAGTTGCCGGCGTGCCCGCCAGGTGTGCCGTGCCAGCCTGCTGAGGGCCGCGTGGGCACAGGGAGTGGAAGACACAGCCGAGGGCACTGGCAGGCACCATTCCCATCCTGCCAGGACTTACTGGTTTGTCGGGAAGGCCCGATGTAAGCTGGCCAGAGCCCATGCCATGCGCTGCGTCCAGTGCACGCACGTGGCCTCTCAGCACCGGCTGGCTCTGGAGTGAACCCGAGACACGAGTGGGAAACCAGGGCCCGGGGATGTGCCCCAGGGCTGCACAGGTAGGGAAGGACCGTGGGTCTGACCTAGACAGACAGTTGTTTGAGCTTCAGGGTGGGGGGGATGAGTCTCCAGATGATGCAGGGGCGATCAGAAGGTCGAGTTTCAGCCCCAGAAAGGTAACCCCTGGCTTGAAGCCAGAGAGGTTTGTAGCCATTGCCCCCATCATTTCACAGGTGTCACCTTTTCCACCCAGGTGCAGGCTGACTGTGGCAGGTGCAGGTCACTGCTCACAGCGTTAGGGTTTCTGTGTCCTTTTGAATCTGGGGCTGGTGCTTGTTCTTTAAGAGAATAAGCAAAAATGGAAGTAGACAAGAGGAAGGGGTGAGGAGGAATGGTTGGGATCACAGATAGGCTTTGGGGTGTCCCTGGGGGTGCCCAGCCCAGCCCTCCAGTTCCGAGCTCGAAGGGAGAATTAGGAGCTACTGGGAGGGGGTGTGGGGAGGTGGCCTCCCTGGGCTCTCCCCTGACAAGGGCCTGTGATGACTGCCTCGTGGGGTGCTGGGCCCGGGGGGCACCGTGCAAAGGCGGAGCTCGGTGCCTGTGCAGGGCCCGCCTGGAGAGGGCTTCCCGGCGAACCCCTCTGGAGGGAGAGGAGAGGGGCCTGAATCCTGAACTGCTGTGGATCCTAGTTCCTACTCCGAGGCCCCAAGGGAGGAAATGAGTTTAAACTGCGACGGACAGAATTCAGATGAGAGACGGGGCGACTGGGAGACCTCGGAGACCGGCGAGCAGAGCCGGGCGTTGTTAGGTTTCTGGGGAGCATTTTGTAGACTGGACTGTGCAAGACCCATCTCCTGGAGCCCTGGCGACCTGTGAACTCAGCGGGAGCAGAACTGCGCCCCAGGAACACCTGGAGCTCATCCTCCCGGGTCAGGGAGAGAAAGGGCTCACCTCTGGTTAGTCACAGAGACAGGACTTGAACCCAAGACCCCGGGCCTGGCCCTCAAGAGGCCCCATCCTGGGTCACGGGAGGGATACGGCTTGGAGAGGGGCCACCCTGAGGCACAGCACAGTTTCCAGAGCCATTTCCCGTCTGAGCTGGTTGGTGAGTCTCCCGGGCATTTAAAAAATGAGGGCCGTTCCCGCCGTCCCGGGGAGCCAGCAGCAGGCATGAGTGCTGCTCGGGGAGCTGGGAGCATGGAGCTCGGCCTCCCGCCCCGTGGAGGCCCTGCCGGAGAAGGTCACCACCAGGGTGGTAGCAGGGGTGTGGCCAAGAAGACCCCACATGGCGCCTCCCGTACAGATCCCGCCAGTAGCTAACATTTCTGAGGGCTACTCCATGCCCTGCTGCCTGCTTGCTTTCTGCACCTCTCCTCATTGGAGGGTCACACCCACTGTCCTGTAGGAGCTGGTTATTACCCCCACTTCACTGACGGGCAAGGCGAGGCAGAGAGGAGCTCAGCAACCTGCCCAGGCCACAGGGTCAGCCAGTGCAGCACTGGACCTCAGGCCCTGAAGCCAAGGCCACACTCGACTCTGTACCCAACAGGCTGTTCCCCCTCCAGGCTGAAGGGGACTTTACAGGTCATCTAGCTGGTCTACACCTTCCAAGGCCCCTGGCCGCCCAGTCAGCCATGTGGCCCCTGTGGTTCTATGTTCTCCCAAGAGAAGGCAAAGGGGACGGGCTCGCTCGGGGCCCAATTCCCCGCTGGGGAGAAGGGCTAAGCTCGGGTGTAAGCGGTCTGTCAGCCACCATGGATCTCCAGACAGGTGAGCGAGGGCCTGGGGGCCGCTGGCCACCACCCCAGCTCAGCGCCCACCCACGGAGCCGAGGCTCAGCCCCTTCCTCCGTCCTGGCACAGGTCAGTGATGCACACACGCGCAGGCCACGTGATGACCCTCCGGAGAGGGACACCTCGGCCGCTCTGCAAGCCCAGGCGCGGGAGCGCTAACCCTCCCGCCGCGGCCCTGATTGCAGCTGCTCTGAGCAGCAGGGGCGCCGCCTGATTAGTGCCAGCGCCGCCTCCACGGCCTCCTGGTGGGCGGGCAGGCGCAGGGTGGGGGCGGGGAGGACAAAGACCTGCCCCAGGCTCCCCCAGGGGCTTGGCTCAGTCCCACCTCAAATGGAGTCAGGGAGGTGACAGCAGCCTGACTGGGTGGGGACTTGGGGTTCAGTGTGAAAGGGGCCTGGGTGAGGGCACCCCTGGCAGAGGCTGGTCCCACAGCTGACTCAGCTGAAGGGTGTTGGTATTGACGGGCACTGTGACGGAGTTATAAGTCAGCGTGGTCTCCTTCTGTCCTGAGGGAGGGTCACTGTCCCGTTTTACAGTCGGGGGCGTGAGCTCAGGGTGGTGAAGGGACTCCACACCCACAGTTCTTGGTGGCAGAGCTGGGGTTTGCACCTGTGTCATTCTGGGTCCAGCCCCGGGTTCTTCCCACCATACCCTGCTGCCGACGGAGGCAGACCTCATAGTTGGAAAATCAGGATGGATTTGACTGGTGGATGTAAGCTTTTATTTGCTTTATACATGGATTACTATAGGATGCCTTTAAATGGTCCTTCCTGTGCCTTAAGGTGATCTGACTTATGAAAAAGCAGTTTGCAAGCTTGTTAGAAACAGTCTCAGCAGCGCCCCCATCCTACCAAATCAGAATATCTGCACTTGGACAAATGCTCAGTGGTTTGTGTGCACATCAAGGTCTGAGAAGTATGGGGCAAGGACCATAGCTGACGAGAGGTAACGCAGGAGTTGTGGGTCACAGATCGTCATCCATGTTGGAAGGAAGGGATCTGGGGTGAAGGAACTGAGACCCTGCGAGCAGGGAGCCAGACGATACACCTGTCAGGGGACCCCAGACCGGGCTGGTGCTCTCGGCACCACCCACAGTCCCTGGTGGTCAGAGGCGAGGTCTTCTCCCTGAGGAGGACTCCTGTCCACCGGAGTGGGTCTTGGAGCATTGATCACCTCACTGGGGGGAAGGGCTGGGTCCTCCTAGTGACATGCGAACATCTCTGTCCCCCCAGTAGGGACCTGCTGGATCACGTAGAGGCTCCCAGACCCACCAGTGGGTATCCTGTGAGTGGGAGGTCCACCACCTGTCTGCCCCGTCTCCCCCTGCACAGCAGGGAGGGCATGGCCATGGCCAGCTTTCAGGAAGCTCCCTGCGGCTCCTGGCCCTGGGGTCTCGGCCTTCTCTGTCGTGGGACGTGGAACCCAGTGGCCTTGAAGGGATCCCACCTCCGGGCACTCTCTTGGTAACTGCAAGTTCCTTCCCTTTGGCCTAAAGCTGGGGACCAATAAACTTTTCAGAAGGGCCAGATGGTAAATGTTTTTGGCTTTGTGGGCCGTGTCTGTCACACCGCTCAGCTCGGCCCAGTGCAGAAGCAGCCACTGGCACGGT